GTGAGACTTTCAAAAACAAAACGACAAATTATACGGATTTTCTTCGAATAACAGAAGCAGTATCGAGTAAACGCACCACTTTCTTTCGTGTTTTCGAAGTGTCATTACCGTCACTCCTGAAACCATTGCCTCTTTTAATACCTATTTCGTTTGACACGATCGAACATCAAATCTCACCGCTTGAAACTTGCCAAGAACATGCCTCATACAACTACAGATCGTCAGCCCCATTATACTACGCCCCTCAGTCGCATTCTCAGTGATCTCGATTCAAAAAGTCGGCAATTTCAACACAGAATTTATGATGATACATGCAGTGAGTGAAAGTGAAATTTTGATCGAAAAAAAAAGTAATTAAAATCTTAAACGAAAAAATGAATCTAGAAAATGCCTTTTAATGACAATCATGTCAAACTCTGTGTTGAAGTTGACGACTTTTTGAATTGAGGTCACTATCAATGAGAATGTGAATGAGATTTAACGACAGAATTTAACGATAAAATGTCAGAAAAAAACTAAAATAAGTTCAAAAAAGTGCTAAGAACAGCAAGACCACCCGGAATCCGGCGTGAGGATTTATCTGAAATCATTTACATACAACAGAATGTTGCTACACGCCAAGCGAGGCTGTACAAAACTAGCGATTCTAAGCTCCATATCTCCAGCTAGCATACATTCCCTGTTCGATGTATGTGTGCCATTTCCAGAAATACTGGAAAAAACAGTCTATAAATTTTTTAAAAAACTCGTTTTTTCTTCGTTTTCCTCCCTTCCTCATCTTTTCTACTTCATTATTTTCTCTTCAACTTCAAATAATAAAAAATCTTTTTTAAATAAACAATTCTGAATGAATCTGAATTCGTACTTCATGAAACCAGTGGAGTGAAAATGGCAGAATGCAGTGTATCGCACTTCACTTCCTCCATCACGCTTCGAATTATCCACTATTTCAGCTCGCATATCCATGCCTGCCGCATTTGCACACGTCACGTGGAACGATCGCGTACAACTCTTCTGTATAATACAACCAATATATTTTTAAACAAAAAATACTTCTGTGGAAAACTACGCAGTCGCGGCATAAAAATAAAGCGTAAACATAATCACATGAAAACCAGAAAAGTATAAGTGCAGTAATATAGTTAAAGACCATCGCCTGCTGCAAAATTTCAAATAAATGGCCAGCGCACTGACTGCCGGTGCGAAGATGCATTTTTTACATAGTTTCCCGCAGTCTTCGTCGCTAACGGTACCGATTTTTTCAGCAAATGCTTCTAGCTAAGATAACTGAGACTGGCCACCAGAGCTGTCTGAAAACATCCCTCTAAAATTTCAGCTTTCTAGCTTTCTTGGTTTCCGAGTCAGGAACTTATCCGCAAAAAACTTTTATGGGCCCGCACATAGGAACCACACACACTTGGGGAGTGGGCGTAAACTCTTTAAGACCTACGTGGACGTGGGACTTTCTCCTAAAATTCCATTCTTCTAGCTTTTCTGGCTCTTAACAATTTACCCGGGGAAAACTTTGGTAGGCCCGTACGTGGGTCTTTGGGAACTTAATCCACACACGCCCTCCATCCCCCCCACCCCCCCTCTTTTGGAGGAAAGGGCGTACACGCATGCGGATTAAGTTCCCAAAATTTCAACCCTGTAGCTTCTGTAGTCTCGAGATGAAAAATCGGTAAAGACACACAGCGCACACACAGACACACACACACAAATACACGCAGATAACTCCTCGTCAATATGCGTTTTCCGCACTGCAAAGATACAAAAAACGAACAAAAACCGAGGCCTAACATCTAGAGGCAGTGCTGCAGCCCGCTTTTAAAAACAAGAGGATCACTTTTTATGCGTTTTTGCTGTGCAGCTTTATAGCGCTGCCACAGCCAGCA